AAAAAAAAAAAAAAAAAAAGTCACCTAATATAAAATTATTCCAAGTAAAGCACGTTTAATCATGAAGTTTTTATAGTTGTGACACATGAAAAGAAGATATACATTATTGGTATATGCAGTGTTTTCTATTATCATATCTTTAGGATCGCTCACATTTGGATTTGATTTAAGTTCATCTATGTATTCTTCTTTTACTCGAATGTTACAAAATAGAGAGACCAAAACATACCATTTTAAAAATTCACCCTTTAATCTTTATTAGTGAACAAACATAAATGAAAGCAAGAAAAGCCTATGAACACATGTGAAGTCATTATTATCATAAAATATAGTACATAATGCAATTATTTAAATAAAAAAAAATAAGGGGGGCATTTTGGGGTTTTGATAAATGTGTTTTCTTTTAGTATATGTGTTAAGATTATTTTTGTTGTCCATTAGTATTACAACACGACAGTGTTTTATTAGCCAATCACAGAGCGCCATTAATTGTTTCCAATAAAATATCCCACTTGTCTGTTTCAAATTACAAGACGAAACCCCTTGCAATATATTTAAATTATTATTGTTTTATTATTAATCCGCTGCCTTGTCTTTTTTAACCCCGCCATTTTCAATTAATACTTTTTTTTTTCTTTTTTGGATTTTAATATACTTTTTAAAATATTTACTTTTGGCTTATGGAATTTAAATAAGTGGGTTTTTTTCTTTCTTTTTCAAATTGCGTCCATAAATAAATCCAATCTGGTAATATAAAGCTATAAATACGGTTAGATTCTATATTTGTTGGAGAGGGAACGAAATTTTTTTTTTTTTAGGAAAGTGTGTTAGGGTTTTAGTGTTATTTACTGGTTGGAGCTGCACTCAAGAAAGAGGCTAAACTACTTGGCAATATCAAACACTCACGAGTCATAATACTACACTAACCTCGGTTATAAATGTCAAATATTCTTAATTTTCATAATAATTTCAAAAGTAAGGTAGGATTAGGTTGTAATCTTATTTTTTATCTGACTACAAAAATGTCAATCCGTGAATTAATTCAAAATTTTCGATTTAAAAAAAAAAATTCAACCCAACTCAAATTGATTGGGTCGATTTCGAAAGGAAAAAAAAAGTATTTTTTTAAGGGTAATTTAAAAAGGGAGGTGGAAAAAGAAGTAATAAATAAAATTTTCATGGTTGTTGACCTAATTTACTAAATGACAAATCTTTGGGTTATTTTATCAAAACCCATAATTTTAAATAAATTTCCTAAACCCACCTTAATTAAATAAATATTTATTTTTAATTATGATTTTTTTTTGCATTATTCGTATATTTAAACTAATTTTAACTTTAAGGTAAAATTAGCGGTAAATTGGGTTATAGGAGTAAAATTTTACAGGTAAATGATCTCTTTCAAACTATAATTATTGTTAGTAAAATGTAATTTGAACCATATTTTTCAAGATTATTTTTGTAAAATTTAATTATTATTAAATATTTTATAATGTTTAGCGTTTATTATGGTTAATTACACCTGGCTATGACCTACTAATTAAAGCCTCAAAACAAAGCAAGATTATAATTATTAATTAATTTTTCAAATAACATTAAATAAAGTCAAACTTCTTATTATTATTTTTTTTTTTAAAAATAGGAAGTTGGAACCAACGCGACAATCAGTATGGTATAAATTAATTCTTTGTGTTTTTCGGCGTGTGCGCGGCACGTGATCCACTACACGACAAATTATACATCCAATTCTTCAACCACTAACTCTCCTTTTCCTTTTTCCCACATTTTTTTAATTTAATGTTTTCAATATTATTCTCCTTTTCTTATTTTTCTTTTGTTAAAAAATAATAATAATACTAATAATAATAAATAAATAAATATATATATATATATATATATATATATATATATATATTTTTTTTTTTTTTCTTAAATGTGTCTCCATTTTCGATAATTCAATTATAGAAATTCCAAAATGAAGCGTAGTTTGTTTGAAGCAATTCCGTGTTGAGCAAAAGCATGTGGGTGAGAACAAGCACGTCCAAAGGGCTCGTGTTGTATGTAGGAATAATTTTCTCTCTTAAAAGTAAAGAGTAAGTAACATGACCACGTCGCAAGGGAGGCAGGAAAATGTCGAGGCCATTGAGCGGTGAATTTGAATTCTATATCATGGTCTAAATCCTAGGCATTATTCTCTTCAATGAGACGTGGTCCGGGGACGAACCAAGGCAGAAGCTGGTGGGTATGCAACATTTGAGTAAATAAGAGGTACGTGAATAAACCAATAACACGTATGAATAATAAAAATACTATAAAAGTTTTAAAATTTTTAATTAATTTAACTATAAATCATGTCTACATACATATTTTATTTTGATTTATTAACTTTTAATAATAAATATTTTTAAAAAATAGAATTTAAACAATGAAAAATGGGGAAATTATAAAAAGAGAAAAAGAAAAAAAAAAAAAAAAAAAAGCAATCAATCAGACCGATGAAAAGACTGGATAAGGACACGTGGCAGGTGGAGAGGAGACGGTGGGCATCACGGGTGGGACCCACATGAAGGAGCTTCGATAACCGTAACAAGACAAAACAAAAGAAAACAACGAGGGTTTTGTTTTGTTTTTTATTTTTTATTTTTACGTTTCTCCAAAGAATAAAAACCTACGGTTATTAGTGGGACCCACTGGATAATGCCACGTGTCCATAGCCCATGAGATATATTTTATTTCATTGCAAAAAAAAAAAAAAAGGAAAAAAAAAAACCCTAAAAACGGGACTCCAGAAGAATACGACAAAATCCAAAGCCCACGCTACAACTTTTCAACTTTCTTAAAAAAATAATTAATAAAATAAAAGCAAAGCCTCCTGTCAGATTCTGACGAAAAACATGCCGTCACGCGCTTTGGGGAAGACGACAAAACACGCGTCGCTCTCGATGGCATTTTGGTAATTTTTAAAAACATACGAGGGTAATTTCGGCAATCAAAAGTTGACTAAGTAAAAGGTTTGGCCAAAAAGAACTCCAGACGGAACCCCTCGTCGCCACGTGCTTTGGCGTTGGCCGCACGCAGGAAACTCCGTCTCCACCCCTTTTTTTTTTTTTTCTTTTAATTTTACAAATTTTTTTAAATCTTCATAGCTCTGACCGACCCACTTCGAAACCGATGATAAAACTCTTCGAATACGACTTTTATTATTTACTATAATTGAATTTCATGTTATTTTTAACGATGCTAATATGATTAGGGAGTAACGAAAGTAGGGTTTGTACTGATGTGTAGTGTCGGAAGTTTAAATACGTTAATAAACTCACTGTTGCGTTCATTATTACTACGATAGCTTTTGTAGTGGTCGTGATATATTGATGTGTAAATGTATAATGTCCAAAATGACAACGACGATGAGTAGTTGAAGAGAGAGGAGAACGAAATATTCTTTTAGGGTGTATAAACATTTCTCTAGTAAACCTGTTTTAAAACCGTGAGACTAACGACGATGAGTTTGAGCTGTTACAAATGGTAATAAAGCCAGACATCGTGCAGCGTGCCAACGAGAATGATGGGGCCAGAAGGGAGTGGATTGTGAGATCCCACATCAATCGAAGAGTGTAACGAAACATTTCTTATAAGTGCATGAAAACCGTTCAATAGCATACACGTTTTAAAACCATGAGACTAACGACAATGAGTTTAGGCTGTTACAGATGGTAACAGAGCCAGACGTCGTGCAGTGTGCCAACGAGAATGACGGGCCCACAAGGGAGTGGATTGTGAGATCCCACATCAATCGAAGAGTGTAACGAAACATTTCTTATAAGTGCATGGAAACCGTTCCCTAGCATACGCGTTTTAAAACTGTGAGACTAACACGATACGTAATGAAGCAAAACAGATAATATCTATTCTCGGTAGGCTCGAGACGGTACCGAAGTCTTTACTATCGAATTATTACGAGGACTTTAATTTTATGGTCCAACATGTCTATTTCAGATAATTCTAACCTAAGTAGTAAAAAAAGACAAAAGCTATAAATTTAACCCACTTTTCAAAAAGCAAATCCCAATAAATACAAAATAAATAAATAAATAAATAAATAAATAAATAAATAAAGTAATTATTGAATTATTAATGAAAAAGAACCAAAAAAGACCCAAAATGGCTCTGACATTTGGTATTAGCCCATTCTTCAGCCCGATCTTTCCATGACATTAACATCGACTGACCTCCAAACCCTATAATCAAAGGAGTTGTTCATCCACATTTTAAATATTTCGGCACAAAGGGGACGGAATCAACAAAACCCTAATGAAATTCGTAAGAAATTTTGTGCAGATTTGTTTATATTATGTTTAGAGATAGATTTGTTGATTTGATTTGAATTGGATTGTATTGAATTGAATTGGATTGTATTGAATTGAATTGAATTGAATTCAATTGGTAGGTCCCTTATGAACAGTTGAATTCGGCCGACCGATTTGTCGTCTCTCTCGCGTCTCCGTCCACCACCACCGTTGTTTTGTTTCTCTTATTTGCGATTTTGACCATCAAACACTCTCGCTTTCTCTCTTTCTTTCTTTGTACTTTGTCTTTCTTTTTATTTCTCTATTATCCCCTTCGCTTGATCTCCCTGCCTTTTCTGAGACTTCTCTGTTCCCTTCTTTCTGATAAAACTGTCTCTTCAATGCCCTGTGAACCCAAAACGAGGTATCAATCAAGGGGAGAAAAAGGGTGTTTAACACCAATACTCCATCAGGGTTCTGTTCAATCATCGCCATAGATTGATTTGAAGGGCTTAGAGAAGAAGGAGTAACCCATTTGGTTGTTTCTTTGTTTGTTCTTGTTGCCATGAGAATCACAGGGTTTTGGTTGTTTCTTTGAGTGGATATCACTTGCTCTGTTCTTAATCTTTGTTTGATTCTTGGTTTTGGGGTTTGTTCTTTTCTGGGTGTCAAGAGGAGATGGCTCGGAGTAATGAAGTCAACCTTAATGAATCTAAGGTACTTTTGTTCTTTCTTAATCTGAATTCATTTCTTCCCTATTTTGCTAGATTTTGAATTGGGTTTTGCTTTTTTCATTGCTGTTTAAGGTTATGATTTTGGGTTTACAAGCTTTCTTTCTTGTATGCTGAGTTTTGGGCAAGTTTTTAAAGCTTTTTGGGCAAGTTTTAGGCTGTCTTTGTGTATAGGTGATGGTTTTTGGCTTAGAATGATGTGCTCTGTGTGTATTTCTGGTATGTTTTTGGGATTTTAGTTAGATTTGCTGCATAAATGCTTGGAGATAATGCCTTTGTTCTTCATTATAATCATGTTCATCCCTGATTTTACTTGGTTTTCTTTCACTTTTCTCTTAATTGGGTTGTTATCTTGATGTGTAGAGCGTTGTTCCATTGAATACATGGGTGCTTATCTCCAATTTCAAGCTAGCTTACAACATTCTCCGCCGCTCGGACGGGACATTCAACCGTGAGTTAGCGGAGTATCTCGAGCGTAAAGTTCCTGCCAATGTGATTCCTGTTGATGGGGTTTTCTCGTTTGATCATGTCGATCGAGCTTCTGGCCTTCTTAACCGAGTTTATCAGCTATCCCCTGGAAATGAAGCTCGATGGGGTATCGTTGATCTTGAGAAGCCTCTAAGCACGTCTAAAGTTGTTCCTGTCATCCTGTTTTTTCATGGGGGGAGCTTTGCTCATTCATCAGCCAACAGTGCTATCTATGACACGTTTTGCCGTCGAATTGTAAGCATCTGCAAGGCAGTTGTTGTCTCGGTTAACTATCGTCGGTCGCCCGAACATCCGTATCCATGTGCGTATGAGGATGGCTGGGCTGCACTTAAATGGGTTAAGTCAAAAACATGGCTGCAAAGTGGGAAGGACTCTAAGGTTCACGTGTATTTAGCTGGCGACAGTTCTGGTGGCAACATTGCTCATCATGTTGCTGTGAAGGCAGCTGAAGAAGACATCGAAGTCTTAGGCAATATCCTTCTTCACCCGATGTTCGGTGGCGAAAAGAGAACCGAATCCGAGAAGAAACTCGACGGTAAATACTTCGTAACCATCCAAGACCGAGATTGGTACTGGAGAGCCTATCTCCCTGAAGGAGAAGACAGAGATCACCCAGCTTGCAACATTTTTGGCCCCAAATCCAAAAGCATAGCAGGACTCGACTTCCCGAAAAGCCTAGTCGTCGTTGCCGGTTTGGATTTAATGCAAGACTGGCAACTTGCTTACGTGCAAGGACTGAAAGACTCCGGTCACGACGTGAAACTTCTCTTCCTCGAACAGGCGACAATCGGGTTCTACTTCTTGCCTAACAATCAACATTTCTACTGTCTAATGGAAGAGATAAATAGCTTCATCAACCCTTAACTGTTCATACAACTAAAAAGCACTAAAAAAAATGCTGCAACACCTAACAGAAGCTTTGACATATAAAACTTGGGTTCCTTTTCTCCCCTTTGCTGTAATGCTTGGTAGTGTTATATATATATATATATATATATATATATATATATATGTATGTATGTATGTATGTATATGTATATGTATAGGTTATATACAATATTAACATCATGGGATTCTGCTTCTTTGCTGCTACTGCTGCTTATTCAAGTTCAGGAGCTAAGTGGCCAAAATTTATGGAGGTGATGAGATAGATACCAACAAAAAGCCCAAAGAAAGCTTGCCTGCCTTGCTCTTCCAGCCATCCAAACAAGTGAGTATGTGAAGTTTAGGGGTAAATTTTGTTGGTCTTATCAATGTTTATGAGCATTCTGACTGATAATGCACTAATTTTTTCACAAAGTTTTGGATTTGATCCATTTTGTTTGTGAATTCTGTGTTATTAAGTGTTGTTGTTTGTATCTACTTCTTGGTTTTGTTGTTGCTAAAGATCTGGTGAAGTAGGGGACATGGGTTGCCCACGTCTTCTCCATAAATAGCATGAATTTTTGCAGCCATGCATAAATGATTGGTCAAATCATGGATTTCACTTTCCCTACAATATTGATTTTGATCATCTCTTGTCATTTCCTTCTAGCTTTTTCTTATATAGAGGGGGTGTGCTTGGCGTTTGGGATAACTTCTAACTCTACACACCTCCTTTTCATTGCCCACCATGTTTGTTTGTTAGGTTGGTTGTTTTGGACGTATGCTCTATGCCCCACGACCTGTGTGAGACCTCACATCGGTTGGAGAGGAGAACGAAACATTCCTTATTAGGGTGTGGAAACCTGTGTTTTAAACCGTGAGGCTGGTGGCTATATGTAACAGGTCAAAGTGGATAATGTCTGTTAGTTGTGGGTTTGGGCTAGTACAACCTATCTAACTTGTTGGTTGGTTCACTTCATCCGTTTCGGTGAAACTGAGCATGCGTTTTTTTTTTATTGATTGATTTTAGGGTCGGTGGCGTTCTTGATGAATGAACGTTGTAGTAGGATCAGATGATTGTCCCGAGAAAAGGGTAGAATTGGAAGAAAGAAAGTAAAAAAGTTAGAAAATCCAACATTGAAAAGAAAGGTTTGGCCAAATCCTAAGAATCCAAAATGGTTTTGTGTAGTGGGCATTGGGAAGGATGGGATCAGCTAAGCCTTTGGAATCATGTCCTAAACATACAACAAAACATTGACTTTTTTGTCCTTTTTTTCCTTTTTGGATTTTCTAAATCATTTTTTAACTACGTCGTTCGATGTGACTATTTTTTTAATAACAATATGAAATTACCGAACGAAAAAATCGAAGATTTTTTTTGTAATTTCAATTTTGTGAGATTGTCGTTGAAGCGGGAAACGATACACCCTTTATAAGAGTGTAAAAACTTCTTCCTAGCTGATGCGTTTTAAAATCGTGAAACTGACGATAATACGTAACGGGTCAAAGTGGACAATATTCGCTAGCGGTGGGCTTTAGCTGTTACAAAGTCAATCAACCCTCTCGTGCAAATGAACTCATGCCACAACGGACTCGTACTTTTATATATCAACCTATGAAGATCATAAGTCTTTAAAGTTGGTCTAGTTAGATCACTATCACGTAAGATAACACTCGTTTTTTCACTTTCATAAAATCATTTTGTGTACGTAATGAAAGACGCTCGAGTTTCCATACTAATCTCTATAAACAATTAACAATTATTTGCATTTGCTTTCAATTTCTTGTGGAGCAAGCAACACTCATTAACTGTCCCCTTTTTTGGGAGACTCTAACAATTCCCCCTTCAACAATTAAAACTCCTCTTTTTTTTTCAAAAGGTGAAAATTAAAGAAATAAATGTTCTTGACATTTATCGAAATATTATTTTATGAATTTTTTTTTTTTTTTTAAAGATCATTAATGTCCATGCATAAAATTACTATCGATAATGTATTGCTCGGGTGTAACTACACCGTACCCAAATCAGTTAGAATATTACTAAGTCGGGTAATGTCCTTCTTTATACTTTATATATATATATAATCGAACTTTTACTTTTAAGCCCCAAACTTTCAACATAAAAATTGCAAAATGGGCACTTTAAACATGAAAAATTGCAAAATGGCCACTTTCATGGAGGTAATAATTAAGAAGGGAACTTTAGGAGGAAGCATTGAAAAGGGGAGGGAACATAAAGTATGAGGGCCCCTACTTGGATATAACATTATTTTATTTATTTTATTAAGAGTAAAAATGGATAAAGTATTTATTTAATAATAAAATATGGGCCATTAATCCTACTTGTGGAACAAACTTTGGTAAATTATAGCCTTTCACTTTCTAAGTGATTTATTGTACTTCAAGCCTTTATCTACCTTTTCTTCTTTACAATGTTATGATTCAAACAAGGAATCGGAATTATTACGTTCCGATTCGTTTTCGATGCTTCTGAAAGAAGATTTTGAGTTGTATTCAAAATTGACGGGAACTAAATTAGAGAAAGAAATCGAAATAGTCAAATTATGCACTAATTTAACGGAGTGCGTATATGGATTGTCGTGAGAAACTCGAATTTGCAAGAAATTTTATCCCGAGCTATGGGTAAAAGTGTCAAGTCAATTGGAGGAGGACCACATAGTTAGTTCCTTACCTTGGAGTTTTGGTTTCTCGGCACGTTAAGGAAGTTTAACCCTTTTCTTCTACTTTCGTTTGATGTATGTTTTCGTTTAGTTGAACTCAACCCAATTCAAATAAGTTGATATCCCAACACAAGCTATACAAGATGAGTTGAGTTGATCGGGAATTTGATGGGAATGCTGTTAGTTTATTCATGTTTGCTTAGTTTGTTGACAATGACTTGTATCTTACACTTTCACTTCTCTTTATAATCTCCCATGTGGTTTAATTATCACTATCTAATCTCGTGTTCTATAAATTGTCTTCTTTCTTCTTCATAAAGTTTAATGTGGTTAGATCTGGTCGGTTTGCTGAACGTGAAAATTAAAATAAATTTTGTTTTTATCGAATCTAAAAATTTGATGTTTTTCTAGTTTAGATTGTTATTAAACGTTTAAGTTTTGTTCAGTTATGATCAATAGAGTGTCAAATTCTTATTTTTCGACTTTTCAATAATTTAATTGTATTTACATTTAATTTAGGTATTAAAAATTTACTTAATAGAAGCGAAAAATAACATTTAATTTTTAGTTACAACATTTTAATTAATAACAAATATAAAATAACATTACAATTATACCTATTTCATTCTATATATATATATATATATATATATATATATATATATATATATATATATATATATAAAGAAAATCATATTCTCATAAATTATGAATATTTCGTTAAAAATTATGCATCTCAAATAATACAAATTGCATACTAAAAATGCAATGCCTAAATTCGCTAGGAATTAAAAATACAACTAATTTGTTATATACTATAAATCATTATTCACATTAAACTACAATAATCAATTTTTTAAAAAACAAAAGCTATTTAAAAATAAATAAAAGAGAGAGAGAGAGTAAATTAAAGGGGAAATTATAAAAGAAAATGAAAAATAAATAAAAACGTACATATAATTGAATAAACATTTGCTCTCCTAAAAACAATTATATAAATAAGAATATTCCTATTTTCTGAACCCCCAAAAAACGAACACAAACAAATAAACGGATACTAAAAAGAAAAAAAGAAAAGAAAAAGAAAAAAGAAAACACATTCTCTGCCGCAAAGATTTTGTGTATATTAATTAATTAATTATCGGAAACTATATTAAAAAAATAATTTTCTTTATTTTTTTTTCACCTTTAATTACTTTCTTTTTATGCTCCTAATTAATTAATTACTTTCCAAATTTTACCCTCTCCATTCGCCGCACTGTTCCGTTGGCCGAGTTTTCTGGTTGCCGGCCTTCTCCGGGCACAGTGTTTGTATCGGCGGCACCATACAATTGTACTGCAAGCACAATGAGCTACTCAGAGGAATCTCCGCCGTCGGATTGATCTCGATTCCGGTCAGAAAATTGTGCTGCAAATACAGAGTTTGAATATTAGCAGCCAACAATCGGTCCACGAGGCTGTTTGGAACTTCTCCCGTGAAGTGGTTGTTGTTCAGGTAAAGATTCTGCACGGTGGAGAACATTGGCGATATCGGACCGGAGAGACGATTGTAGCTGAGATCAACGGTTGGAATCGCCACCTGAGCAGCCGGCAGGACTGGACCGGTGAAGAGGTTCCGTTGCAACTGGAGGTTAACGATCGGGAAACTGAAGATACGCATTGGAATTGTTCCGGTGAACTGGTTCAGGCTGAGGTCGAGATAGTTCAACTGGTTGAGGCGGCTGAGGAGGCGGAAGACAGGGCCGTTCAGGCGGTTCCATGAAAGAGAGAGGTATTGGAGAGAAGGAGGAAGAGAGTCCGGTATAAGATGTCCGGTGAGATTGTTGTGCTTCAGATCAAGATGATTAAGGCTACGGTACGGAAACATAGGGACTGTGCCTGTGAGGTGATTATGGCAGAGAATGACATTGGATAACTCCGTAATCGTTCCGATGGAGCGAGGAATTTCTCCGGTTAGTTGATTGAAACTGAGGTCCAGAGTCCTCAAACTCCGAATCTCGCCGAGATTCGCAGGGAGAGTACCGGAGATGAAGTTGCGACTGATAGCAAGAAAACGGAGGTTCTTCAGTTGGAAGAGCGTCTGCGGCAGAGCTCCAAAGACTCGACCAGGAACAATGGTGAACTCCGTGAGTGCTGAGAGCTTGCCAATGGCAGGATTAATCCGGCCAACCAAACCAGGCGAACCAGCGCGAGGATCCCCTAGGTTTAAGGCAACAACTCTATCAGAATCACACAAAACACCGGCGAAATTACAAGGATCGCCCGTGAAATCCCAAGATGCGAAGAAATTAGAACCAGGCAAATCCTCCAAACTCTTCCTAATCGATTGCAGAGCCAAAAAATCAATCGGATCCAAAATCGCATCCGATAAACAACAGCAATGCGCTAAACACAACAAAATCAAAACAAAACTCCTCATCCTCGAATCGCTCCGCTTCTTCTCCTCCGCCATTACGAGCCCTGACACAGACGAACACAAACACAATACCGTTATATAGAGCAATCAACTGAACACATCAAGAACTCTTTCTCGTGAGAAACAACGAAGAGGTTGAAAAAGGAGGAGGATATCTCGTGAGAAGCCTCTAAATTAATGGCGAAAACCTGCAAAAGAAACTCCAAAACCGCGAGATCGATTAGCTTCAAAGAGACGCAAACGAAGAAAAGCTCAACGAATCTTCAAAAAGAAGAACAAATTAAAATCTCTAATCTCTGTACTGCGAAGAAATTTTACGGCTTCTGAGAGAAGATTCATCGACTACAGCCACCGCCGCTCTGCAACAAACCAAAAACCGCTTTCTCTTCTTCGTTTCTTTAATGGCAGAAACATTTATTTTATTCGTTTTGTTTATTTTCATGTAATTTTCTTTTCGCTGGGCGGTTTAGGTTCGGAGGAAAACGGTTGTCCGAGCCTACGTGGAGTATCCGAGCCGGGAGATTTGGACAGAGCATCACATGCCGGAGAGAGTGGATTGGCTTGAGAAGAAGAGACACAGAGGGAAAAAGCGTGACGGCCGTGAGCTTTTGGTTGACGTGGACTTGACGGCGTTAAGTTAAAATAGTCACGCGAAATGCACTTTGTGATGTGACAGTGACAGCTGTAAGCCTAATAGGATTTGCCACGTCAGTTATTGAATTAAGTTGTACGCTGTAAACGGCTGTAGAGGAGTGAATTTATTTATTTTTAATTAGGTTTTAAATTAGGGTTTTGGAAAAGAATAATTTATTTTATTTGGCTTGTGAATGAAAATTGTTGGGAGCTCCTTAGTAATAATTTTTA